GAGGGGACCCCAGCGCTCCCGGCTCAGGCCTTCCTCCAGACCCCTCATCCTCCACCTGGGGTCAGCAGCTGGTGTTCCCGCAGCGCCCGGGCCGGGAGGGGAGGCAGGGCTGGAGCCGTGCACAGCAAGAGGCCGAGGAAGAGCCCTCCAGAAATCAGAGGGTGCCCACACACATGGGGAGATGGGGCGGGAGCCAGGGGGCAAGAGCCTTCCAGGCCTCTCCTACAGCTCGGCCGAGGGGTGAGACAAGCAGCCCCGAATTTACAGAAAGCTGTTTGAGGCAACACTATGCTATATTTACTCAGAGAGATTCGATAGTATCAGATAACCTTACAAAACACTGTCAAGAGAAAATCCCCAACTGTGCCACAGTCCTGCTCCCACAACGGGACGATTTTACTTCAACCAAAGCGTTAACCAGGGAAGCACCGACCAGGAAAACGCCAGCCCTGACCTCCCCAAGAGATGGGGTGGGGGCTCCGGCGCCCCCCGCCCCATCCCAGCACCATGGGCTGCGATGAGGGGGGCCGGGGGCTCACCCAGCGCCGAGCAAGGCCCGAGGGTCACAGCCTGTTTGCTCGTCTGGGTTATTTGTCCTCCCCCACCCCACGTGTTCAGAGCCTTTGCTCTCCACCTCGGGCAGCTCTGTTTGCACTGCCTTGACCCCCAGCACAGCAGCTGTTGACAAGGGAGGGCGGGTTCCCTTTTCTGAGGAATTGAGGGCAGCTGCCATAACCCGACAAACAACTCCTCCGCTCCCGCCCCGGGGCTGCGCTGCCGGCAGCGGCGAGTGCCACCCTCCGCCTGCGCCGCCGCCCCACAGCCAGGCTCGTCCCACAGAGAGGAGCCCCCCGGACGGGCCGTGCAGGCCCTGCCTGAGCTCAGGGGCCGAGCGAGGCCCAGCGCCCCGACCTGACAGCAGGAAGGGGCGGCTGCAGCTGGCGCAGCGACAGAGACAGCTCCCGCGTGGTACAAGGCCGATTTATTTGCTTTGTTGCACAACACATCACAGCTGGATGCTGGAAGGACCTGCAGGCGCTGGCCACAGATCAAATAATTTTATCCCATGTTATTATACCATCACCTCCCACGCCGCACCACCTGCTGTTGGCTTCCAGCCACGTCTCCTGTTAGCCAGGTCAGCGGCCGGTTACTGGTCCAGCGTGATCAGGAGTTCCCAACCCGGTTCCTCAGCTGCCCCGGGCGAGAGGCGACTGTCACTCACTCGGCAGATGAAGGCCCCAAACTGCCCCTTCCATGCCGAGCCTCAAGAGACAGGGTGAGTGGAGCGCGAGTGGCAGCCGGGGCAGCGGTGGAGCAATGAACAGGCCTCCCACACGTCTGCTGCCCCCGAGGGCTGCACACGGGGCGGCCAGCTCGGCTCCCGCTCAGCACTAGAGCTTCACCTCGACGTAGGGCCCAATCCAGCCATCAGCCAGCTCCCGGAGGGTCCTGTACCTGCGCTCAAACTCCTCCCTGCTGCAGTGGGTGAGAAGCCGGCTGATCTCTGTCATCAGGAAGGACACCACCAGGGATTTATCCAAAGACTCATCCCAGGAGCTCTTCAGGATCTCCAAGAGGCCATCAGCACTGTCATGCCCGGCCTGATGGGAATCACATCCCTTCTGCCACTGCCTGCTGAGCATCTCTGGCTGCAAGGTCCTCCTGTCCAAATTCAGCACAGCCAGGATGTGCCGGCAGGGCAGCTGGAAGACCTGGTTGAAGTGGCAAGTGCAGCTGCTGAGGTCTTTCATGTCCACCCTGTGTACATCCTCCAGGATCTGTATGCTGAGAGCGTCCTCCTCGGTGCCTATCAGCTGCACTGACTTCTGAACCACTGCAAACTCGCTCAGGCACAGCCGGGCAGCGGGCTCTGTGCAAATATCGCTCAAAGACTGCTTGATGCATTCTTCAGCCCTGCGTTTAATCTCGTCCTTGCTGTCACCCTCCAGGTTTTCTGTGGCCTGCAGTTTAGCTGCAGGAGATGAAGGATCTGAAGAGGACTGAGGGCTTCGGGGCTCATCCTGGAGGAAGAGAGCCTGGAGGGTTTCAGGCTGACACTGAAATGCCTCAGGGATGCGAGGAGCTGCCGATGAACTCTGGAGAACAAACACAGGACTCTTAACAGCTCTGGGAGAGGCTGGCACTGGCTGCTGCTGCTGAGCTGCTGCTGCGGTGGGGGAGGCCTGGAGAGAGCTCTGAGATGGCTCACCCTGGCACGCCAGAGGGGCGGGAGGCAAATCCGAGGCAGCCAGGCTTTGGGGAGCTGCCCAAGCAGCGCAGTGATCAGGACGGGGAGTGATGCACATCACAGCATCAGGATGGCTCTTCAAAATACACTTCTGGTAGTGCTGGACTAAGGAGGTGATGCAGCTCTCCAGACTGCGCCCAGCCCTGAAAACCTTGTTTAACCCCTTGGTGACGATCTCCAGGTCCTTAAAGTAGCTACCGCCCACCCCCCAGGTCCTCTTCCTGTGCGCGGCCCAGATCTCTTCGTTGAGCAGCCAGTCAATACAGAGCTGGGGCTGCACGCCCGGCGTCCCCATCTCCCTCAGGAGGGCGTGTGTCTCCCTGCGCTTGGTCTCGGAGGCCTCGCACATGGCGTTGTTCAGGGAGGCCAGGACCAGGCGCTCGGTGCGGTCCCCCAAGGCCATCTGCTGGATCTGCTTCTGCAGGCGCTTGCAGAGGTGGAAGATGGAGGGCTGCACCTCCGCGGCCGGGAAGGCCTGGGTGAGCACCGACTCCTCGGGGAGGCTGGGTTTCACCAGGATGAGCCGGGTCTTGGCCCAGGCGGGGTTGAAGGCCTTGAATGTCTCGTACATGCGGGCCAGGCTTCCCGCCGACTCATCCCGCGGGATGGCCAGATGCACCACCCTGGCCATGCCACCCCACTGTGGCGGGGCCAGCCCGGCCACCAGGAAGACGTAGAGCGCCCGGTCCGCCCGCCCGCCGGCCC